GACTTCATTGCTAAAGCTCTACTGTCAACTTTTGCCTGACAGCTCTTAGCGACACTGCTTTGGTATCAATCCTCTGCCATCGTGGCACCCAAAGATATCTCGCATTGTTTACTAAATAATATTTATTTATTTATTTATATCAAGTGGCAGGCGTCTTGATTGTTATCATTAGCCCTTTGGTTGACTTCAGGCTTCACAGAGGGGAAGGAACATCAAATTGAAAAAAAGTCGAGAGGGGGGGGGGAACAGAAGAGTGTTTCAAAGATGTAAGAGACAAACACAAAGGTAGATGAAAGGTGAGGCGAGTACTGTGGAAATATACGAATACGACATAATAGTGGGATGATGTTAGTTTGAAGTGAGAAGTCAACTGCCAGTTAATAGACGTTTTTGCCGTGTGAATATACGTTGCCCAAGGTGCACCACGTGGAGGTAAGTCTATTGCGCAAACCCAATTAAATAATATATAGAAGTAGAGCGCCATGACACTATCTTGCCGTTTATAATAAGGAACTAGAAATCATGAATTTGAATAAGAACGAATGGATAGCAAAGACGCATTTTCATTATGATGAATTACATTTCATGCGTATTGGTGAGTAAGTCGAATTTTGCGTAAAAAAATCCCATTTGACCGGTGGTGGGAACACACTAGAAGACACACCGTTGGAAATTCTTATAGAATGAGTCAGACAAAATCTGTCAGGTATTGACGTGCGAGATGAATGAACTGTGTTAGTTTAAGGTTAAATAGGTAGAGTTGGTGAACAATACCCATATAAATAGGGGTAAATGCGATTGATCTTTCAAGATATTTTCAGCATAAAAAATGTTAGAGTGCAAATTCAATTGACTTGAGTAAAGTAATTAACGAACACGCGAGATCAAATATTCCTTTCTACACTATGTTGGCTTAATTGGGGCTAATTTAACATTAATAAGTAACGATAATCGAAATTGTGTTTATTCCTAACTATCTACTTCTTTAAAGCAATAAGTAACAGATACAAAACCAACCAGGATGTAAATTACGGCCAACTAACTCTGAATCTGTTAGACGTTATCTCATCCACACATCCGGAGGGATATGTGGAGGTTCGTGGGGTTATATACTCTATCCACCAAAATATTAAGCTAAGTAACATTTCATAACTGTTAAGAAATCAATATTTAAGTTTTACTTGTTTGCTTCTCATTTATTTTATTTTATGAATTACGATTTACCGTGAATAGTTCGATTTGACTTACAAAAAAGTACCATAAACACAAGAATTCGTGCTTGCCAACCTCTGATTGTGAGTTGTCGGCTCATAGGTGGTAAAATAACGTCAAATGCCCCTCGTGAGAATAAAAGAAAACGCATTAGTTTTCAATATTTAAATGTCTAGATTTCAAAGGCGTCTACATGAAACCCACGCTTTATCACATTAATTCAGATGCCATTCCTTGATCCAATTGTTGCTATGGCAATTAAAAATGGTTAAAATATTGAAAATCGACATGAATAGAATGCATTCTCTCGAAGTTTTCATATAGAGACGCCTTTTATCATGTAGTTCCCCAAAAGAAGCGTTGGTGATTGATAATTCTGTTAAATTCTAATCATCCATAGATTAGCTTTGACCAATTTCTGCAGTAATAATTTAATAAACTATAAATCACTGTTGATAGCAGTTCCGGAACGGGTGGTTGGCAGCTAGCAAACTCAGAGACATTAATTTTATAATATGGGGTGTGCGATAGACTTACTTCCACGTGGCGCACCCTGGGCGAGGAATACTCATACGGCAAAAAGTCTATTAACTGGCAGTTGACTTCGGACTTCAAACCACCATGACCCTACTGTATGCCTCATTCGACCCCTTCCATAGTACTCATCTTACCTTTTCTCTGCCTTTTTTATTTGTTTCTTTTTCATCTATGAATCAATCTTCTGTTCCTCTTCACAGCTCTTTCCCACTTTGATGTTCCTCCTCCTCTCTGTGAAGCCCGATGTCAGCTAAAGGGCTAATGATAGCTATCAAACGGCCTGCCGTTTGAAATAAATAAATTATATAATATGTCTATTTTTCGCATCCGCTTAATTTATATATCAGTAGATGGAAAGTGATAATATCTTCAATTGTATCAGCTCAAATAAGGTTATAATAATGGTCATCCATAATGTATTGAAAGAATTCAATCCTTTGCATAATTCCAACCCATTGGAGGTTATTGAAAGGAGAGTATAAAGAATTAAACATGTCTGCTGATTAAGTGGAGTGCTGCAAGACAAAATTTACAGTTATTAATTGCAAGAGCCCCTGGGAAAATGTAGGAAACAAGAAGAGTTGCATTGAAAGAATTTTACTTCATTGATTCTCTTGGAATCTAGCTGCAAACTTAAAGTCATGACCTAATATTTAGAATTTGAGGATTATTCCTGTGTTTATGAGTGGGTTCAAGGCCAAAAATTGAACTTATAGCCAAATGGGTCAATTCGGTTAGTTGATCCTAGTAAGCATCTCAAATTATCTCAAGTGCAGTTATTTGAACGGTTTCTGAAACCGTTAGTGAACCTGTGGGCAACGCAGATTCGATTAGGGTAAATGCTGTATCATCAATTCATCTCCGGCTCTGTTATAAAACATCTGCTACTGAAGGAACGTTTGTGCTAGTAGCCTGTTCAAATAAATTGTCAAGGTAAATGAGTAGTATCAACTTTAGCCTAACAATGGTTCAGTGGGTAACAGAAAATAGAACTTCCAAGATGATGTCTTTGAAAATCACCTTGACTGATATGGGAAAAATTCACTTCTGTGTTCATATATATATATATATATATATATATATATACATTTATTTTATTTTATTTACCCTTTTTCTTTCATTCACCGCATTTTTCCGATGAGAAAGTCTTCTGACGCACATAACGGTTGGTACCTGCAATTGAGGTCAAAGTGTGAAAAGCGTCTGTAAAATATGCGCAATTAGGAACAAGGCTCGGTTTCAGGTCACAGGCCCTATCTAATGAGTAAATTTCGCCAGCCAATAAGATACCCGGTCAACGGACATTGGCTGCCATATTAACCAATCAGATATAACCCCAATTGCAATCCATCTACGTTTGAATGTTAACGTTGATTCGTGTGATTTTGCTCATTAATGACGCCAGGGTGGCAGGTCTACATTATCCTATTAATTTGGTCCCTTCTTACCATCCTCGACGCAGGTATATGCTGTACCTGCTGTCTTCTGCCCTTCTGGATTAGTGGAAGTGTCGATTATAATGCACCTAATGGTGGAATAATAAGTAGCATCAGTTATATTGGTCTCTTTCGACGTTGCGAATATCCATCATATCGGCCAAATGGAGATGTTGAATGGATACATGGGTGTGGATATTATCCGGCCTTGGAGACAGTTCCACACTGGGCTTGGCGAATGGCTTTAATTCTCCTCATTCTTTCGACCTGTCTATTAGTCTTTCTTGCTTGTTTTGTGATCTGTGCTGGCGCTTGTACAGCTTTATTGAAGACGAGTGCCAAATTATCGCGAGCCTGTTCATGCGTCTACTTTTTAGCCGGTAAGTGCTGTTCAAAGAGTTCTCCTGACTCTCTTTAAGTAGTCGCCAAGTCTGAGTCATCTAACTGTTTAATCATAACAGCTGTTCTGAGGTTGTATATCACAGGTCAGAAACATGACGAAGTTGCTCTTTGAAGACATCTTGTGATAGATATCAATCAGGTCTCGCGCAATCAGTCTCTTAAACGATGCCTTTTTTTCTGGTCTAAACAGGATCTCTAAAGACAGTTTTTTTATTAAATTGGGACTTCAGTTTTATAAATTTGTAAGATCTAAGCACATCAATTTTAAGAGACAGTAGCGATTGTTTGGACCAGGCGCATTTTATACCTTGTCTCTTTTCAATCTGATAAATGGAACTGAGGTCTTCTAATTGGTAGATCTTCCTTAGATTTACTATGATTGGTCTACTGAACTCTTTTCTTGTTTCTTTCATTTACAAAGAATCGAGAGCATAAAGGATTCACATATATACAATTTCACTTCTAGTCATACCTTCCAATCGTGGTCGGTGTTCCCTAATGCGAATATCTTCTTGGAGTTGTCTCAACCAACTCCTTATTCTTGGCTGGTGGAATTTCATTAGTCAATCTCCAAGTTATTACTCCCTTCTTGCCACAAGCACAAGTTCTACTAACTCTATGTTATTCCTAAGATAGAGTTTTCACCTTTCATACGCTGAAAAATCTGAGAAGTTTGTATTGAAATGCCATGCAATTTTGATCCAAACTCGTAAATGGTTTTTTTCTGTTAGGTTTTGTAATTCTGTTTTTTGTTAATTTTCTTTCAAGAAGAAACAAAAAATGTGATAAAGCTTTTTTTCAACAATTTTTTGTTTGTTTTTTGTTTTCACTCCCATTTTGCCTGTCTACGAAAAGTTACATGCACTTAATGTTTGTGTTAACGAATGTAATTTATTTTATTACCCCTGACATGAGCTAAAAAAATACCGTGGGAAAACGCGTAAACACATAACAGAACGTTTTTGTGGAACGTCAAGTTTTTGGGAACGTGTATCCATTCAACGTCAGTTAAACTGGTAGATATATGGCTCTACAACGTTCACTTTACTTACGGTAAAAAGATCATCTCCATTTCTATTGATGTGATGAAATTTATTTATTTATATCAAATGGCAGGCGTCTTGATGGTTATCATTAGCCCTTTAGTTGACTTCAGGCTTCACAGAGGGGAAGGAGCATCAAAGTGAAAAAGTCGATAGGGGGGGGGGAACAGAAGAGTGTTTCAAAGATGCAGGAGACAAACACAAAGGTAGAACAAAGGTGAGGTGAGTACTGTGAAAATAGTCGAATATGGCATAGAGTGAGGTGATGGTAGTTTGTAGTGAGAAGTCAACTGCCAGTCAATAGACTTTTTTGTCATATGAGAATACGTTGCCCAGGGTGCACCACGTGGAGGTAAGTCTATCGCACACCCCGATGTGGTTATATTTCACCACGGTATTAGGGTACTATGAGGAATAGCTTAATGCGTTAAGCAAATCTTGTTGCAGGTTTAATCCTTCCATGCCCAAGCTTGTCCATGAAGTGGTTCAACTGCATTTATCCTGTATGTTTAAGTACTTTCAAAAGCTCTTCAACTAGAGGATCCTGAATAATGAAGCAGGTAGATTGACTCAGACTGTTCATAAAGATCACTCAGAATGCTGTCTCAAGGTCGGCTGTCCCCAAAAGATAAATCTAATTTCTATGACATTCCAATGATTCAATTTCCCCCAAACGTGGGAAATCGGCAAATAGGTTTCTGTTCATTACAATTGAATTGTTAAATAGGAATCATGAGTTCGTCTCCACTTAACTAGCATAGTTTGGCTAATCTTGATTTTATGAAGGGAGAAATGTATCAAAAGATTAGTAAGCCCAAGGTTTCATTAGAAGGAGCATTGCCGATGTCCACTTTTTGATCATTTATCGCTTATTTGGATATTTTACTCATTCCTTTTTCCTCGGGTTATAGAGGTACTCCTTGCTGTATCAAGAGTAGTAATAACCATGTCTCCAGGCCCTCATTTGTCTTTGTAATCCGTACCACACAATGAAGGGAATTAGTTTACCTTCATTTTTTTGTTTTCCGAGCCAAGTGGTTTTATCTATCGGGTGAAGAAGAATGGCCCATTGTCCCTCCCCCCCCTCCCTCCCTCCACCCCACTCTTCATCTTACTAACAGTACTTAAATGTACATAAAATATTTGTGAACCTAAGTGGTTTAGTATTTCGGAAAGGGAGTCAATTGTGCAGTTGTTTACATGCTCGTCTGTAGGGTCAGGCATCACTGACTTGAGGCTTATCTTCACACTGCTTCTGAGTGGAAATAACCAACCACACTACTAATGATTGTGCAGCAGAATTCTACTTTCCCACCAGAAAGATTTTCTGATCATTGCTCCCGTAGATAGTAGGATATTACCTACCACCATATCGTTGTCTTCTATTAATGAGGATTGGTTCAAATCAGGGTCCTTGCTCTACTTAATCAGTAGTAAATATCTCGCAACATATTGGAAGACAAACACAATGATTGCTGTAACTGATATTATTCTAATTTTCAAATCACTTTAATAGGATTAAAATTTAATTTGATTGTTGCGTCTTATTTCAAGATATAGAGATATTTAACGAGGTGAAAGCTAGCAATCATAACTTCGGTAACCACGCGAATTCTAAATTAACTGTCAATGTTCGTCAAAACCTTTGCCTTTTTCGGAATCATGGTAGAAATTCCAAAATTTGACACAAATAAGGGGTTTTTAATCATAATCTAATTGACTTTAAAATTAATTCTACTCGCCTTAAATTGTTAAAAAATTGAAATTTGTTTTAAACTTTTGTCATGCTTTAGTTTATTCTTTTAAATTCTATTAGCAATCTGACTACTTTACATCTTCACTGGTTGAATGGATTTGAAGCAAAAGAAAGACTGATTTGTTGACACGTAGACATGTCAACCCGCTTCCAATTTAACAAAATGCCTCCTCAGGGTTACCCTTTGGACAAGAAGTAGACGTCCATGTCTTGTACATGGCAAATGTGATCGAATGTAAAATTTCACTTAAAGAGAAGTAAATTACTTGCATTTAGGTTTAGCTATAAATATTTTTTACATTTAAATTTTAAAATAGTCTAAACTGGCATTGTTTAAAGGTGGAGGGTGCTCGCATTTCCTCGAGGTTGGCAAGAAGTGACACAAAATTCCAAATCGAAGACTGAGTGGAGGATGAAAGATTATTATTGTTATTATTATTATTCCAAATGACAGGCTTCATGATATTTGTCATTAGCCCCTTAGTTGACTTCGGCTTTCACAAGAGGAGGGGGGGGGGAGGAACATTTATTTATTTCAAATGGCAGGCGTTTTGATAGCTATCATCAGCCATTTAGCCGACTTCGGGCTTCACAGAGGGAAGGTTCATCAAAGTAGCTGAAAGTCGAGGGGCGGGGAACAAAAGAGCGATTCACAGATGTAAAAGAGGCAGACAGACATAAAGGTAGGGAAAAAGGTTAGATGAGTACTGTGAAAGGAGTCGAATTTGACAAGCAGCTGGGCCATGGTATTTTGAAGTCAGAAGTCAACTGCCGGTTAATAGACTTTTTTGCATTATGAGAATACGTTGCCCAGGGTGCACCACGTGGAGG